AACAAAAATTCAAAACATACAAAATGATATTACGAATTTACATTTACGAAATTGATTTATTGCTTTGTATTATTAAACGAATATAAGAGACATAATTTACTACTATCAAATATAATATAATGGTGACGATAATCATTTGTCATAATTCTGTTACATAAAATAATTTTATAAAAATAATAATAGGGGTTTTGTAATCGTAGGTTTTGATCAATAACACGTTGTAATGTTTTTTTTCTGGTGGTAGCATTTTTTCAAATTGAATTTGTAATATTTGCAAAAGATTATAAAAATAATAATACCAAAAAACTTTTTATTAAATTAGGTCAAACTAATTAATTAAGTTATTTTGCTACAAAAAAAGTAGTTTATGTACTTGCATTCAGTTTGCTATTTCTAAATAAGGGTTCAATTTAAAAGTCATATTTGAGATAAAAGTATATATTATATTATATAATGCATTATTACAAAAAATATAAATAACAAATATAAATGCGGAATATATTTTTAAATTATTAACAAATTTGATATTAATTTATTAAATATATTTATTCGACTGTAGGAATATTAATGTCAAACTATATAGTTAATATAAACGGCAATATATTACTCATAATGGGGTATAAAGATAAGTTATTTAGAAAACTAAGAAGCAAATCTATAAAGGACTTCTATTTCTATTTATTGGAAAAAATTGCCTGGTATAAAATATCAACGGAATTGAAATTTTTTATTGAGTGAAACTCTTTTATATTGGATTATTTATGAAGTGCAATGAAAAAAGTATGTTGGTTGATGTTCGTTTATTAATACAGAGCAATAAACTGTTTCGGTCTGTGCGAACCGCGTATCGGGTTGATTGATGCAAAGGTAATAAGACACAAGAGGGTGGTTGGTTCAAGGTTGAATAGATTAGAAGTGAAATGGGGTTACATACCGAGCCGGCAGTTTGGTCTGGCCTGGGATGGAATCATCGTCCGAGTAATCAATTTCCGGTTGGGGTGGTGGATCGTTGCTGAATCCCGAATCGTTGCTGCTGTGCAACGAAACATTACCGACGGGACCCCCGATTTTGCTACCCTTGGACTGCAAGTGGAGAGGCAATGGGGCTCCGGCCGTGGGCCTGTCGGATCGCGACGGTTGCGGATGGGTGGAATACGATCCCGTCGACGGGGTAGTGAAATTGAAACTGGAAGCGGAGCTTTTAATGCCCGTTTGGGAATACGGGGATTGGAACGTTGCCTCCGTATTAGTTTTCGATGAGAAGTTAGTGCTTTGAGATTGGGTCATTCCGGTCTTGTGATATGGCAGAGATGGGGTTGGGACAGGTGCGGGCAGTGCCGGTGGTGGTATGTTGTTAGAACCGATCGCACGTCGAATCTGAAACATTCGTTAAAGACATTTCAGTTTGGTCATTTGAACTGATGCAGAGAATACGCCGCCGCCGCCGAGGATCCGTAAGGAATTCAGAAGCTGCAAGCTATAAAAACTACCTGCTTAGCGTTAGCGGATGATCTATGCAGATGAAGGGTATCGCCAAACATACGTGGGGTGGGCGGTTCATTGACATTGACATTACCGGGGGATGAACCCGAACCGCCGCCACCGCCTGGAGACATCGGATGCTGACCTATGTTTGCGTTTCCGCTTCCTGAACTGCTCGCGTGCGTCGGGGAACTGGAACAAAACGATTGATAAACGGTCCGCTAATGCGAGAAGACGCTGTCGGTTATTTATTGCCACCCCCGAAAACTTTCGTGATAATATATATATATATATATATATATATATAAGCCAAACCATCTTCACAACCCCAATGCTATTGATTGCAAACTTACAGTGATGAATCGTCCAGAACTTCGGTGTAAGCCAAAGGGAACCATCCGCTGCACTGCGTACGCAAATTCTCCCCAAATTGCCATCCCTTATTTCTTTCCCCGATCAGCGCAATCAGATCCCCTTCAAGGAAACTGAGCTGATTCTCGCCACTGGAGAGATATGCATATAAGGCCCTCGCTAATTGCGTGTCCCATTGCGGCGGCGGCACCGGAGGTACAGCCATCGATTTCGGACGGCGCGTCGGTGTCTCATCTTTAAAGCAAATAGAAAGAAAAAAATCCAACATCAATCTCATTACTTATTCATCATCCAAAACCAAGAGGCTTTACCTTGCTCCAGCGAATGAGTGGATGAATTCAAATTGTATTCGGATTTGGCTCTGGATAAAGTGGTCACAGGTGATCCCACATCTCCGATCGAACGGATATCCAAGCAGGAAGCATCCATGCTCTTTGTTTTTCTCAACTGCGAGGAGATGCTAATACCGTCGTCGTCGAAGTGCGGGCTCCGGGGGCTCGAATAAACATCCTCATCGTGCCAAACGGAAATTTGCTATACAGCGAAAATAAAAACAACAACAAGGAATACGTTATTAGGGGAACACAATAAAACATTTGAATGTACTTACCCTCAGTCGATTGCTGAATATATTCTCAACGGTTTCGGGTAGAAATTCACGGGTTTTTGCCACTTCCGACCATTTCTCCAGGTTGTGTTGATATACGGCTACTCCTTGAGTGTGATATGAAAGATAGTGTTTGGCCAGAGAGCAGTGCCTTTCCAGAACAAAACCGTATCGTCTGCGTTCTTGAGTCATTGCCTGCACAATACCACAAATAGGATCATAAAATATCCACAGGTCGAATAAAAAAAATAATAAAAAAAAACACTAAAACTACTTACATTTTTCAAACTCTGTTCGCAGAAAGCATCCAACTTGGTTTTCTCTTCCTCCAATACTTGCATATTCTATAAATAAAATAAATTTATAAAAATTACATCAAATAAGAAAGTATATTTAAAATACAATATGTATATAAATATAATTATGTCACTATGTTTAATTATTGCTAATTGCTGAATTATTTTATTGTCTAATATTTGAATGTAGTTGAAGTATTTATTCTAATACTTATATATTATTATTATATTAATAGTAGGCGATAGAAAGTAGTTGGTTCGTATTGCGTCTTTATGTACATACTTTCAGTTCTTTGTCCATAGCCAGTCCAGTTTTCGTAGAGCTTCTCGACTTCTTCCTCTGCTTCTTCATCATAGCCGCAGCCTTGCTATACGTCTCTGCTCGTTGTTTATGCTGTTGCAGGAATCTCTTCTGCTCCGACTGAATGCACGAGATGGAAGATACATGTTTATTAGCTTTGAAACGTTTATTTCATTGCAAACACCGAGCTTACCTGAACAACTTTTGTATCCTTTTCGAGGTTTGTTTCAAGCGGCACCAGGAGATCCACGTAGAACGCTTTCAACTGTAAATTGCGAAAAGGTTATATGTACAGAGGAAAGAGAGATACCGGAGGCAACGTTATTTACATTGTTTACCCAAACATCAAAGGCTAATATAATCAACGCTTTTCGATTCGAATCACTTAGTCAAATAAATAAAACATAGCTGAAGCAGTAACGAGTTAAAACCCTCGGCTTCGTTATTTGACTAAAGCCCCAAATTAAACTCTGGATGTACAACGTTTAATTTATATGACACACATTAAGTTGATTTATAAAAAAAGGAGCCGGTGGAATAGGACGAGGTGCACAAAAGTGCCGTGAGTTATTTCGTTGGATGTGCGGACCACCAAACGCCGAGTGTCGGTGGACTATCATTATTCTTTTCTGCTTTTTTTCTTTTTTTCATTTTTGCTTTTCAGCTTCCGCTTTTGAATAAAGTGCGCTTCCGGTTCTCAGAGTTTGGGGTGGTGCTAATACGAATTAATTATTTACGAGACGGGCATATAAAAGTTTTTGGTACTCACGATATTCATCTGCTGGTCTTGGATCTCCTTGTACACTTCGACGATTTTCATCAAAGCAGCGCCTGGAAATAAATGAAACATTTATTAGGGCCATCTCGCTACCGCTTACATATTACGCAACTCGCAACTTCGTGTAACTTTAGGAAATTATTATTTACAGAAGGAAGAATATTTAAGCTTCATATCTTCTGTATATTAAATTCATCGTTGTAGAAAAACGTTTTCGCAAATAAAATATTTATAATTTTTTTTTTAGTCAACTTTCAAACAATTAACTTGACAATTCCAGGAAAACGCTTCTTGCAAATTTTATAGTTATATAATAAAGTGAAATACACTTTTAGATACTTTGATTTTAATGGAATTGTTTCCGTTATTTCAATATAAAATTTTATAGCATCATTTTAATATTGAATTTATTTAACATAATAGGAGGACAGTCCCTCTCCTCGACCGATACATGTCCCTCTCCTTGAAATTTAAATCCAAACAGTCCTTCCCAAATATACTTCCCAAATTTAAATATCCCACATTATCCCTATTCTAATACCCAATGTCCCTCGATTGATACACACTTGTTCCTACTCCGCTGCTTTTTTTCCTCATTCTTCTGTATGTAAATTGCATTATTCCATAATTAAATTTATGTTCCCGGGCAAAAAGACCTCGGTCGTTAGTCCTTTGGCCAGCCTATTAATATATTTTTTTATTTTATGTTAGAATTTATTTATGTATAGAATGTACTTCTTCTTATGTATTGATGTTTGGCCAATAAATTATTATTATTAATTTATATGCCTATGGTGTGGCTCTTTATAATATATGAATAACCGAAATACGACTCTCCTTAACATTAAACTAATAATTCAATATCTCATAGTTTGTACAACGGTTGAGAAACATATGAAAATAAATGAAACCATTATTGATTCTTTTCGAAATGTAATACCATTAAATATTAAATCAAATATTTTATAAAACTAAATACATAAATAGTTTTTATAAATTCTTTGTACAAAATTAGAAAACAAATTTTCATTCTTTTATATTTACAAATATTTGTATCTTTTAAAGCAGAACAGAATTTATCAATTATCTAAGTTTGCAGTATATTTGTTTGCCAATAAAGTGAATTAAATTTTCAATTACATGGAAATCTACTATATTCGTCGATGATCTTTGTATTGAATATGCATGGACATTATAATGCAATATATACCCGGCGTATCCACCATTCAGTACATCGTCCCTCAATTGTGATTACACATTATATCCGTCAGCAGAATTCATTACATTCAATGGCATTTGAATTGAATTTATCACTAAAATAGCACATGCTCATTATTGCTGAGTAATAACATTACATCGTGGCATCCGGAATTGCTTGAGCTTACTGCAGCGTACATTTTTAACAAATCGATTCTCACATCGCTATCAATTATCTTTTGATGAATATTAAATTTATCGAGAACATGTTTCGCCACTCTATAATTTAATTTTAGAATATATACGAAGATGTAATTGTATATAATTAGTAATTACACATCAAACATATATATTGTATTACATTTTAAATAAGTTTACTACGAATTTCTTTCTGTCATATTTTCTGTTACTGAATTACTGAAAGAAAAGAAAGTTGAAATAAATATCATTTCTTCAGTTACAAAAATATTTACAAATATTTTACATGTTTCTAATTAAAAATTTAAATAAATATGCATAATTTTCATATTTTTTACTGTTACTGTATACACTTTCTCATCTTTATTTATTTTATAGACTATCTTTAAGCACAGAAATTCTCAAACAGTACAAAAATTGAAGCATTATTGGACTTCTTATATTTTTATACAATGTTAAAATAGTTATTATACTTGATCCAAAATTTGGGAGAAATTCTATCATAAAATATAGATTTTTTTGTTTTTATAAATATGTATAATTTATTGAATATAGAAAAATTCAAAGTAGCAAATTCACTTATAACCATACATAATTGTATGGGCTTCTGCTTCCCGATGTTATTAAAGATTTTTTTTAATATTTGCTAGTAAATTATCATTAATAGTAGAAAAATCAAAGAAATGAATAAAGAATGAGCAAAAAACTGTAATCTTTTTACAAATGTATTAATTTTATTACAAACAAATGCATTATTAATAATCCTGGCTCATAAATCTAGTGTTAAATAAAGTTTAATCTTAGAGTTTAATTTTAGATTTTTTAAGTACATTTTAGAAGATAAAAATATAATATTCACATAATTCTTAATGAATAGTATGGCTAGGGTTTATATTTTTTATATTCTAGCTAATAATTAATTTAAGCTTCGTGAAGAACATGTTGTTTTATGTTCGTTCGCGAATTAGGTAACCTTATATATTTTTTTACTCTCTTCTCAACGCAGCCCGCTTGTTTTCTCTAATTGGAATTCGGTCTCGTCAGCTTTCGCCTCAGGCTGGTATCGGATTTTCCCAGCTGTATTTACCTTGGAGCCATATATTAGCGCATCTTATCTTCTGGAGAAGGCAAACGCACGGCACCGTTGGGAGGAGGAGACTGCGAAGGCTTAACAAAACAAAACGCCGATTTGTAGGGTGGAGGATGCAGAAAGCCCTCGTGCAGAAATGGCCAAATCACTCGCGTCGGTTGCCAACCCCACGCGAATAATGCTAAGTATCCGGAATTTATTTCATCCGCAGTCTTTTCTCTACCACTCGATACTTATTTAATATCCAAATGGAATCTGCGGTTCTGCTATATCCAGGACCAGGAAAAATAAAAGGGCAAACTCTTGGAACTTAGGATCGATGCAAAGTGTGGAGAGGAGTCATTCCTCGCAGCTCTAGTGGCATATTAAAGCGGGGTGGCGGTGGAGGCGGCGGGGCGTTAGTTAATGCGACAGATAAACCAGCCCCGATTATTAGATTACGTAACCTCCGCCTCCTGCCGAAGCCGTCTCCCCTTGAGCAGAAGACGTCTTCGCTTGCCGTTGCTCATCAAATGGGGATGTGCGAGAAGAGCAGGAACCGCCACCACCTGCTCCTAATTACGCGACAAATACAATTGCCCCACCATTTCCCGAACCTCTCTCACCACCTCCCCCATTCCGTTCATACCACGCAGTGTCCTTCCTGAATCCAGTATTCCGAAAAGTTTTCAATTGCCGGCCGGCCGCGTTTAATTTTCATCCCGTTGTTTTCGCTTTAATTATAAATTGCACGGGATGCTGGATGTGTTTCCTCGCCGCCTCCGTTGCCAGTCAGTTCAGCTGTGAAATCGTTTTATCCTGGGTTCCTGTTTGTAGTTTCTTGCTGCGGTTTGAACACATGCAATAATAACGTGGGCGCTGTGACTCTCTACGCTGTGTCTCAGACACAATGTATCATGGAATTAAATTAAATCTGAGAACTCCCTCAGAATATCCAGACAAATTTTCCTCACTCCTCTCTCTCTCTCTCACAACTGTACCTCCGAGTCTCTTCTAATATAGATCTCATTCCCATTGGAAATTAATACTAATTCTAGTTGGAATTAATTAGTCGCAACTTTTATCTGCGATGCAGCACGCTTCCTTCCCTTTTCAGCACCTCACCTTCCCTTTTCCATCCAACCCGCAACGCCAGTCTCCAAATTTAATTGGATCCAGAGTGAAAAGAATCCAATTACGCTTTTCGCTTACTAGCTTTTCCGATCGAGAATGTCCCTAGTTTTCATCAATTAATTATATAATTTTTTCTCCTCAATCGTTTTGCGACGAACAAAATAAAAGATGAAATAAATGAAATACGTTCTCTGCAATTAGCGCCGAAATATTGCCAATTTACAGTTATCGCTGTTCCTTCAAGTTACTTTTAAGGCTTATTTCTAATATGAATTCAAGTCATTACGCAACAGCGTTCCATCAAAACCTAATGAACGCTAAGAAGGATTTATGTAATAAAATACATGAGAATAATTAACCATTCAGTTGATTCAATCCAATGGCTAATCCCTTAATCTTACATACTCCAAACATTTTCTAATATAACTATTCAGAAAACTATGCACTACTTAAAAGCTTATAAACCAAATGATTCTAATACTAAATTAAAAAAAATTATATGAGCTGTTATATTTGTAAGTCTATTTTTCAACGACATATTTAATGGTTTGTCCTAAAATTACCTACTAAAATTACCATTAACTCATTTATTCCAAAAGTGAACTTATACCTTTCCAAAAATAACGGCGTACTGTTTCTATTTTACAAATTGTGTATTAATTTAAAGGAGCTTATAATAAATAAATTGAACATGTATTTACATCAACAAAATATCAAATTGAATAGTTACAGAAAACAAAGTATTTTCATATGTGTATTTCATTTGAGCATTGGGTTTTAATATATCATTCAATTTTATTAGTAAAATAAGAAGGTTGATTACAAAACCCATATTTATGTAATCCCTAAGAGGAGTATAAACAAATATTAGTGTTGTCCGCTTTTAACTTAATGAATTCCCTGGCATAATTCTGTTGTAACTAAAAACGAGTGCACATAATTTCGCGAATGTTTTAATCCGTTGTTGTCGTCGTGAGTATTTAAATAATCCAAATGGCGCATTATAATCCGTTGAACATTAATAATACTCGGTGCGATAAACTCCAGTTGCTATGGAAACTACATGTATGTACAGTTATTTACTTTTATATTTTCTCTTGTATTCAGTCGGATTGGTAAGCGCGGTATGGTTAACCAAAAATAATGGTTGCAAACGTATAAAGGATATTTGGTAATGCGGCTTGAGTAAAATGAAATGTAATCGGTGCGTGTGCGTTGTACGGAATGGATAGGATAAACACACATGCCATTGCGAGTGCAGAGGCGCCGGCATCCGAGGACTATCCCGCTATCCTGCTATCATGCCACGTGTCGCAGGACGCGTGAGTCGCATAGCAACTCGGAACTTGTTTTTACTGCCTAATATTTCTTTTTAGTGGGCAATTTTTTTTGTTGCCGAACGGTGGAATAACACAAGGGGGCAACAGCAGAAGAAGCAACGAGGGGTGGTAAGAG